TGTTTCTTTTTGGTCAGCACAGCCTTAATGTCTAACCAGTCCCAACTTAGCTCTGACAAGCCCTGACTTGTTTCTGGCAGGGGCCTTTTCAGGCCTATGCCCCAGACAAGCCTTGACCAAACTGCAACAACTCCCCCCTTTTGAGCATTCTTCAATCTTCAATTGCAAGGATGCTCAAATCTTTCCGTTGTCGCTTCTGATTCTTCGGGAGGAGAATCACCGTCCGGAAGAAGGACTTCTTTTCGAGTCAGCACCATCATAACTCGCCGAGTGTGTTGTCCTTCTTTTGCGATTATTCTTAAGAGACACTTATATACTATTAAAGCAAGAAGAATTATTATGTTAAACATTAAAACATATTGAATGATGGAAGACAGCTATTTTGACATATGAAGACCGAGGGAGCTGAATAATTCGCCGATCCAATTATGTTCTACTGACCAATTCTTTAGGTAGACCTGGTCTCCTGGAGAGATGTCATGTACTGGATTTTCCAGAGGCAGGGGCCGATTTCGCTGTAAGGCTCCTCGGAGCGCTGCAAGGGTCTTATTTAGAGACAAAATATAGTTAAATACAATTTGGTCTCCCAGTACATGAGGATCACCCTGGTAGGTTGCTGCATGGTATGGTTTTCCATACAGGATCTCATATGGGCTCACTCCGATTCTTTCTCTGGGTTTAATTCTAATTCTTAACAGAGCAAGCGGCAATGCTTGGGGCCACTGGATTTTTGCTTCTTGACAAATTTTCTTTAATTGATTTTTCAAAGTCTGATTCATTTTCTCTACCTGTCCACTAGATTGTGGTCTCCATGGAGTGTGGAGATTCCATGTTATTCCTAACATTGTGGCTAAATCCTGTACGACTCCTGCAATGAAATGTGGCCCTCTATCTGAGGACAATCCTAACGGTACTCCAAACCTCGGAATGATTTCTTTTAGGAGGGTTTTCACTACTTCCTTTGCTTGATTAGTTCTACATGGGAAAGCTTCTGGCCATCCTGAGAAAGTACACACATACACTAGTAAGTACTTGTATGTTTGAGCCTTTGGTAATTCTGAGAAATCTACTTGCCAATAATCTCCTGGAAGTTGCCCAATTTGAAGTTTCCCCATTTGTACCTGTTTCCTAACTATAGGGTTATTTTTAATGCAGGCCGGGCAGGTTGCATTCGCTCTTTTTGCTAGTGTTAACATCTGATTTGAGAAAATCTTATGTTTTAGAAATTTTACCAAAGCCTCTGCACCCCAATGGCACTTACCATGTTCAACCTCAAGTACTGTCTTCATTATTCTGATTGGCAGTATTACTTGCCCAGTAGGGGTAATATACTATCCTTTCACATTTTTCTTTGCTTCCATTATTTGGGCCAATTTCACATCCTCTGGTGTATAATGGGGTTTTTCTTCCATGTGCACTGCTGCCAGATTGTCACGAGTTGGTAACAAAGCCATTTGAGTCCAAGTTCCTGTAGCTACCCACCGAGCTGCCTGATCTGCCAGTCTGTTCCCTTGAGACTCGGGTCCTGAATCAGGCTGGTGTCCTTTTACATGCATTATCGCTACGGCTGCTGGTTGATGTATGACTTCCAGGAGTTGTAGTATTTCGTCCCGGTCCTTTATGGCTGAGCCTTGGGAAGTAAGTAGCCCTCTTTCCTTCCGCAGTGCCCCATGTACATGGACTACTCCAAAGGCATATTTAGAGTCAGTCCATATGTTCATCCTTTTTCCTTGACTCAGATTCAGGGCTCTCACCAGTGCCCAAATCTCAGCTTTCTGTGCAGATGTTCCTGGGGACAGTGCTTTTGCTTCTACAATCCCCTGTGAAGTAACCACCGCGTACCCAGCATACCTGGTTCCGTTTTCCACAAAACTTGATCCGTCTGTGAACAGTTCCCAATCTGGATTTTCCAGCAGTTCATCTTTCAGGTCCTTCCGACTTGCATAGACATGCTCGATAGTCTCCATGCAGTCATGTTCCAGGACTCCCTCTTCCTGTGTGGACCTGAGAAACTCAGCTGGATTGAGATGGTTAGTGACTTTTAATTCAATGTCATCCTGTTCTCTGAGCAGGGCCTGGTATTGCAACATTCTGCTAGAGGAGAGCCAATGCCCTCCCTTCTGTTCCAGAACTGCAATAACCATATGTGGTACGTACACTGTGATGTGCCTTCCCAGTGTCAGTTTACAGTGTCAGTGCTTCCTGAATTAGTGTCACTGTGGCTGCCACCGCCCTCAGGCAACCAGGCCATCCCCCACTTACAGCGTCCAATTGTTTTGAGAAGTACCTGACGGGTCTCTTCCACGGTCCCAATCGTTGGGTGAGTACTCCCAGAGCCAATCGTTGTCTTTCACAGACATACAGCTGGAAATCTTTAGTTAAATCGGGCAGTCCCAGGGCAGGTGCTTCTCGCAAGGCTTTCCGGTGCCAATCGGATGCAGAAGAAGGCATCTTTCAGATCTATTACTGAAAACCACTGGAATTTCTCAGAAACAGATGTTAACAGGGTATAGGGATTTGCTACGAGAGGGTAAATGTCTTTAGTTAACAAATTGACCGC